GTAGACTGGGACGCCATCCGCCGCAAGCACCTGAAGTTCTCCGAGCGTTTCGGTGCACTTGCGCAGGCCACTGGGCATGGGGCAGTCGGGACACGCCGGCCCCCTTGTCAGCAGAGACCCACATGGACGGGCGGTCCGCGGCACAGGCCCCCTGGGCAGCCAGCAGCCCCTCGGGTACCTCCGACCAATGGCATGGATGGCAGGGCTGGTCCTCACGGGGCCAACGCGACACCCCTTGGACAGACACCGAATGGCACGACTCCGAAAAACGAGGCCGCTGGTGGACATAAGGCGACACCGCAGCCTACGGGCGAGGGTCAGCCGCCATCGAGCAACAGGCTGCGGCTGGAAAAGTCACCTGCAAGACTACAGGTCCCAGGACACCTCGCCACTACAGGCGCTGGCGTCGGGTTCACCCCACCACCACCCACAGTTCACGCTGGCCCACCAGGGCCCGTCTGACTTCGCTGCGCCCGGCCTGTCGGCCGCAATACCTCGGGACCGCTCACCGCTGGGGCGGGGGCTGCCCCCCCCCCCCCCCCCCCGGCGCAGCATAGCTAGACAGCCCCAGTTGGTTCGAGGCGCGCGGGCGACGCGCGGACTCCGCAGCCCACCCGCTACCACTTTCGGGCGCCTCGACGGGGCACCCCCCTCGGCGCCCGACACATCTCACCCCCCTTTGCGCACCTGACTCATGATTGCAGAGGCCTCGGCCACCCTGGAAGCAGCTGCCTCGAGATGGCAGACGACCCCCGCCGCACCCCTGACTGCTGCTCAGAAGAGGAGCTGGCGCAGCCGCCCCTCCCTCCCGACAGGAAGCAGGCACGGGCAGGGCCCAGCGCTGGCCCCAGTTTTGTCGCGCCGACGGCGCCCGGCGGGAACCAGTCTGACCCTGGCGGTAGGGCGGCCGCGTAGCAAGAGAAGGACAGCTCCCTGACGTTGCAGTCGTGAGTCGTGCCCTCCGGTGATGGAGAGGCGCGGCAGCCCTCGGGAAGCCCCCCCCTCTCGCTGCAGCAGCTGCGGCCCCCCTGGACGTTTCTCATCACTGAGCAGCGGTTAGCTGCATCCCTGGCAACCTCGGCACGCTTGCAGGCACTGCGATGCCAACAACGCAGGCAGGCCGCCGACACCGGGAACAGCAGGTCAACAGTAGGCAGCGCATCCCCGGGGGAAGCTCTGACCCCCCGCCCTTGCTGGACGGGCGCTCAAGACATTTGCCGAACCCTGAGCAGCCGTTAGCTGCATCCCTGGATCTTGGGCCCGGGCTTCGGCCCTCTCTCTGTCTCTCCCCCGACGCCAGGTGCCCCTGGCGGGCCCCTCCGCGCGGATGGCCGGCGACGTCTGCCCCCCACCGCCCCCACCAACGGAGGTCCCACACGGGCTGGGCGGCCTGTCAGGACTTCGTGCCCCCGCATCACAATGTGGGAGATCGTCCCCTGGCGCGGCTGCCCCCGGGCGTTTCCTCTCCAGCCACGCTGGCGACGCTCGTCCCCGCCAGTCTGGCTTCCTGCCACGCCCAGCGCGGCGCTCTACGACGCTATGTCATGCGTGTGGCCATGGGCCGGGCCCACAGGACTCTCCTCAGGGCCGGCTCGTTGTCCGTGCTCGGGACTGGTGGGCCCCTGGAGTTTGGCGGTCGCCTCGGAGTGGTTCAGCCTTCCGCCGCGCGCAGAGTTCCATCCTGACTCCGTCCCAGCCGATCAGGCAGGTCTACGCCGTCGTCACGGTTCTTGCTCAGCTTACCTGGCTGGTATACGCCGTCGGCACGGTCTTGGCCCTTGGCGCCCCGCTGGCGATTCGACCATCGTTTACCTCGCCTTTCCCGCCACCCTGTTTGAGAGGGCGCAAGGGCAGGGCACTCACCTGCTTCCGCGCCTCCATCCGTGCGGTCTGGCGCCGCAGCGCGTAACACCGAATTCCCTTGCATTTTGCTCTGGGCTGCACGATGCTCGAGCTTCCCTGGGCGCCCTTCAGCCAGCCAGCCCTCGCCCTGCTGCCCCAGCGGCCGCCTTGTGAGCTGGCCCGGCCGGTCTGAGTTGCGCCCTGCAGCTAATCAGGTTTGCCCGTAGGCCCGGGCAACTTCTCTTGCCGCCTGCGCTCTTCGCTCGCGGCCGCCACCAAAAACAAAATCCCCACCAGCCCATCCAGAAACGATGCCCACAGGAATTGCCTCGATTAGGGAAGTGGGCAGCACACAGAGGAAGCCATCATGAGACATCTTGGGATACCTTGAGCCATCTTGGAGGTCATTATGGGCTCTCCCAGGCGCTCTTGATCTGAATCAGTGTCCCCCCAAGAGGCCAACACGTGGCTAAAACCCTCGTAAAATCTATGGTTTGGCATTCTCGCCGAGGCCTCTTGGAGCATCTTGGGTGCATCTGGGGGGTCTCTTGGGGCCTCTTGGGGGTCTCTTGGGGGGTTCCTGGGGGCCTCTTTCGGGGCCTTTTGGGGCCATCTTGGGGCCATCTTGGAACCTCTTGGGGCCTCTTGGGCGCTTTGGGGCCAACTTGGAGGAGATCGATCAAACAAGAGGGGAGCATCAATTAGCGCCCCCCCCAGGAGGCCAAAAAATGGTGCCAAAACCCTGGAAAGACCAAAGATGTTGGTTTCCTCGCCGAGGCCGTTTTGGCATTTTCGCCGAGGCCTCTTAGAGCATCTTGGGTGCCTCTGGGGGGTCTCGTGGGGCCTCTCGGGGGTCTGTTGGGGGCCTCCTGGGGGTTTCTTGGGGGCCTCTCGGTGCCATCTTGGAGCCATATTGGAACCTCTTGGGGCCTCCTGGGCGTTTCGTGGGGCCACCTTGGGGGAGATCGGTCAAACAAGAGGGGAGCATTAATTAGCGCCCCCCCCCCAGGAGGCCAAAACGGGGCCGTAGTAAAACCAATAAGTTTGGTTTCCTCGCCGAGGCCGTTTTGGCACTCTCGCCGAGGCCTCTTGGAGCATCTTGGGTGCCTCTGGGGGGTCTCTTGGGGCCTCTTGGGGGTCTTTTAAAAACCTCCTGGGGTCTTATTGGGGCCTCTTGAGCAATCTTGGGGCCATCTTGGGACCTCTTGGGGCCTCCTGGGCGCTTCTTGGGGCCATCTTGGAGGAGATCGATCAAACAAGAGGTGAGCTTCAATTAGCCCCCCCCCCCCCCCAGGACGCCAAAATGGGGGGCCAAAACCATAGTAAAACCAATGAGTTTGGCTTCCTCGCCGAGACCGTTTTGGACGCTCCGACATTTCGCGAAACCCCCGTCCAGGTCCAGGGAAGGGGGTAGTGAGAGGGGTAAACCCCTCCCCGAAGGGGAAGAAGGAGGGGTGGAAGAGAAAATTGTTAACGCCTCCATCAGGGAAGCGGGCAGCACACAGAGGAAGGGTCCCCCAGTGGAGGTTTCTTGGAGCGTTTTGGGGGCCTCTTGGCGGTCCCAGACGCCTCTTAGAGCGTCTTGGGTGCCTCGGAGAGCTTCTTGGGGCCTCTTGGGGGTCTCTTGGGAGCCTCTTGGAGGCCTCTTGGGCGCCTGTTGGGGCCTCCTGGGGCCTCCTGGACGCCTCTTGGGGCCCTCTTGAAGCCATCTTGGGAGCCTTGGGAGCGCTCTTGGAGCTCTCTTGGGCCAGCTTTGAGCCATCTTGAGGCCTCGGCGAGAAAGCCAAAAACGCTGATGATACAAAGGTTTTGGAAGGATGTTGGCCTCTTCGGGGCCTCCTGGGGGAGCTCTTTGGCCACTTGGAGCCGTCTTGGAGCGGTCTTGGGGCCTCTTGGAGCATCGTGAGCGCCATCTTGAGGCATCTTGGGATATCTTGAGCCATCTTGGAGATCATCTTTGGCTCTCCCAGGCGCTCTTGGAGTCATCTGAAGCAGTGCCCCCCCCCAGGAGGCCAAAATGTGGCCAAAACCTTGGTAAAATCAACGATTTTGGCATTGTCGCCGAGGCCTCTTGGAGCGTCTTGGGTGCCTCTGGGGGGTCTCTGGGAGCCTCTTGGAGGTCTCTTGGAGGTCTCTTAGGAGCCTTTTGGGGGCATCCTGGGGGCATCCTGGGGGCCTCTTGGGGCTTCCTGGCCACCTCTTGGGGCAAGGGTGGGGCCATCTTGGAGGAGATCGACCACAGGAGGGGGGTACTAATTGCAGACCCCCCCTCAGGAGGCCAAAATGGTGCCAAAACCCTGGTAAGACCAATGATTTTGGCTTCCTCGCCGAGGCCGTTTTGGACGCTCCGACGACTCGCGACCCCCCCCGTCCAGGTCCATGGGGAGGGGGTAGGGGGAGGGGTAAACCCCTCCCCGAAGGAGAAGAAGGAGGGGTGGAAGAGGAAACTTTCTAAACCACCGACGCCCAGAGGGCTGGTGGGATTTTTCGTTGGAGAAAATGCGCGGGCTCGTATACATGAGGGCCCCGGCCGCAACATCGTTCGATTCAAATCAGGTGGGAGTGCTACGGCTGGCGTATCAGGGGAACGCGCAGAGTTCTGCCATATGTGGTGCCCCGTAGGGGCCCCCAACCCTCCGAACAGCGCCGACGTCGAGATGAGTGCACGCCGGTACGGCCTGCGTGGCCGCGGAGCGGGTGGCGCGCGCCGCCTCGGGCGGGCCGTCCGTCTTTCTCGGTTGGCGACTGCGCTTGGTGGTGAGCGCCCCCCAGTTTGCCGCCTGTCCTAGCGCACGGAGGCAAGGACAAGAAGAGGGGCAGGAGGAGTTGGAGCAGCAGCAAGGGAACCCATCAGTGGCACCCCAGCCTTCCAGAGCCAAGTCCCCGCCACCAGAAGACAAGCCGCATGGAGGGCCCGAGGGCCTCGGAAGGCCTCCGCCTCCTCCTCCTCCTCCTCCTCCTCCTCCTCCTCCGCCTGCTCCTCCTGCTCTTCCTCCTCACTACCCCTCCGATGTTTGTTGCAAGCTCACTGCCCGTGCTATCACCCGTGCTCCCTCTTTTCGGACCGCGGCCCCTGGATCTTGAACGGTGGATCCTCCTCTGGCTCCCAGGTCCCTCCTCCACCTCCGCCTTCTCTTCCGTAAAAAAGCGGCCAGCAGGGTGTCTTTCAACGATCTGTTCTTCATGATTCCCGACCTTTCCGAGAACATCGAGGTGAGGAGAACAAGCAGGAAGAGGAAAAGGATGAGGAGGAGAGGGAGGAGGACCAGTGCAAACCCAAGATTCATCAACGATATTGCAATAAACCCTTCCTCCAAGCTCCCTTTTCATAGGCTCGTCCACGGATGCATTTTCTCCGAAGGAAATGCCCCGTTGGAAGACAACCGATTGAAAATCCAAACTTGTGCCAGAACACCATCTATGCTACTTCAAGCCGCGAGTCACTGTTATTGTTGAAAACGGGCCGCCCTTCATCCGTGAAGCCCTGGCAAATTACCCAGACGACTCTGCGCGGCGCGAAGGCGTGAGCTACATTTTGAAAACGGACCGCCCTCCATCCGTGAAACTCTTGCCGCTCTCAAGCTTTAGGATCAGAAATTGTGAGGAACGTTAAGGCGAAACGCCCGGCCCGCTCCTTCGACTTCCTTTGGGTGCGATAGGGAGGAGCACTCTATAAGAAAAAGGAATCGAGGAGGACAGCAAGGGAACACGACTAGCAGAAAGATGGGGAAGGGGAAGGAGGGAGGGGCATGAGCAGAAGCAGGGGAGGGAGAAAGGAGGCAGGAGGGAAATGTAGGGATGAGGAGGGGGCCGGATGAGGAGGAAGGCTGAATGAGCAGGGATGGGCAGGGGAGGATTGAGCAGTAAGGAGAGAGGGGAAGGGGGGATGATGACGGATGATGACGGAGAATGGAGGAGGAGGAGGAGGAGGAGGAGGAGGAGGAGGAACGAAGGAAGAGGACGAGACAGAAGGAGAATGGGAGGAAGGGAAGGAGGCAGAGAAAACGAGAAGCAGGCGTGGAAAAAGAAGGAGGGAAGAGGGAAAATGGAAGAGGAAAGGAAGGAGGGTTGGGAAAGCAGTAAGACAGAAGGGGTAGGGAAGGAAAGAGGATGGAGGAGCAGAAGAAGAAGGAGGGAGGGGGGAGAAGAGGAGGGAGAAGGGAAAAAGCGAGTGTGGAGGAGAAGGAGGCAGGAGGGAGGAAAGAGGACAAAGGATCAGAAGGAGGAAGGAGGGACTAAGCAGGCGGAAGGAGGAAGGGGGAGGAGGAGAGAGATAGGATGAGGGAAAAGAAGGGAAGAGCAAGGGGAAATAAGTCAATATCAGCATGATGCTTCACTACCGGGGGCGCCCAGTGGGCTTCCCATTCAGGCAAGAAGCCCGTCTTGAAACTGGACCGCCACCTAGCACGTAAGGCTTTCAAAATGCCACGCGGTACAATTATACAGTTCGAAGACAGGCTGAGCGAGAGTGTTGTTTTGTCAGGCAGCCGCCCTCGTCCATCGGTATCAGCATGAGGATGTCTGAGCGCCCCAAGTTGAACAGGAGCCGCCCTCCATCCGCGCAACTGCTACACCAAGACTTAACGTATTGGCATACTGCGCGGGGAGGTACGCGGCGCGAAGGCAAGCGCCACATGTTGAAAACTACCTGTGTTGCTCCTCTCGCTCCGCCTCGCAATCTCGGCGGATCGCGGCATTGGGCCCTCGTGGGCCATGCCGTTCAGGCCGCCTCTGTCCTCACCTCCTCTGATGCGGATGCGATGGGGAGCACAATTTTATATCACGCGGACCACGGCGCCTCGTCTGAGGTGCGAGCTCGTGGCCCGGCAGCCTGTCAGCCCAGGCCGTCTGCCCCCCGTGGCACGGCAGCTTGTCTGCCAGGGCCGCCTGTGCCCGCGGGGGAAGTGTGTGCGCCGACCAGCAAGCTGGCTAGCGCATGTCGGCCTCCACTGCCAACTGTGGGGCCGAGGAAACGCCACTGGAGGCCCCACCTCCAAAAGGTGTGGGTGGGCGGGGCAGCCCCGCAGGCTTTGAGCCCAGAGTGCCAGAGGAGGGAGGGGCTACGCGCGCGAGCAAAACCTTCTGTTATGACTAACGTCCAAGTTTTGCTCCTCTCGCTCCGCCCCGCAATCTCGGCGGATCGCGGCACTTAGCCCTCGTGGGCCATGCCGTTCAGGCCGCCTCTGTCCTCACCTCCTCCTCATCTCACGCGGACCACTGCGCTTCGTCTGAGGCGCGAGCTCGCGGCCCGGCAGCCTGTCTGCCTGGGCCGCCTGCCCCCCACGCGCTCTGGCGCTCCCCGCCACACCCCGCGCGTCGCGAGCCACGGGCCCACCTCGAGGGCCCTGCCCGCACTGGAGGGGGGGGACCTGGCCCTGCCAGTACCCAGCACTCGTGCGCCAGTGATGCCATGCCTCCGCCTCGGCACACGGCCGCCCCTCAGCCTCGCGAGGCTCCCCCTGCGCGTTAGCCGTCGGCCTGCACGGCCAGGTGGGCCACCTTGCGCCTCGAGCCTCAAAGGTCCCTCACGGCTGCCACGCCTTTCCTCCTCAGACCATGGTCAGGTCAGCGTCTGCCATGCTGCTGGCCACGCCCTGCGCCCTGTCCTTCGCCTCCCACGGGTAGCCCTGGAACGCATCGCTGTTCCAGCGCCCCCAGCGCTGCACCAGCGCCGTGTCTTTGAACGCCGCGCACAGCGCGGATGCTCCGCCGATCCGCAGGCTGTGAGAGCCGAGGTCGTTCGGGCCCACCCCCTCTGCCACAGCCGACTGCATCACCACGCGCTGGACAATTGCTCGCGTCACGAGCTTGGCGTCATCAAAGGCGAACAGCGGCTCGTACATCCTCGTCCCTGAGAACATATCGCGCGCCCAGCCCTCCTAGATCGTCAGCGCTTCCACGACGCATGTGTGCCCCTTCTCCACTGACTCCGCCGTCATCTCCACCCTGAACCGGTTGCGCCACTCACCGCGATTGTATTGGTCGGTCTCATTGGCCTTGTTCTTGATGACGACCTCGTTCGCCTCGGGCCAGTTCCTGCACGGCTCGCCCGTTGCATTCGGTGCGACGTCAACACCTCGAAGACCCTTGCCGTTCGCGCAGCCGTTCTGGCCCCCAGACACGCACTCGCTAGCTTTCAGCAGGAAGAAGTAGCCCGTTCCCACCGCCGCCCAAAGAGCCGTGCTTTCGCGAGACTTCTCCGGCTGCAGCTTCTTCCGAATCCACCGCGTCATCCTGGAGGTGAACGGCTTCTTCCGCTCGGCGTCCCCATCTCCCCTCCCGAGGCCATCGATCGCCATCCAGGGCCTTCCTGTCCCCGCCGCCAGGCCGCCCATGCCGAAGGCCAGGTGCTCGGCGCGGACCGCGCTCAGGCACTGCTTGATGGCGCCCGCCTTCTTGCACGCGCGCCTGGACAGGTGGGCGACAAACCAGCAGCAGCTCCCCCCCCCCCCCTCCGACTCGCGAGCGCGACCTCCCGTAGCGGGCCGCTGCCGCGAGCGCGGCAGAAGAGAGACCACCACCGCCAGGCTGTACGACTTGATGGTGGAGCTCGCCAGCTTGTCCAGAATGAGATCCAGCTTGGCCCCCCCCAGTCTTCGCGCGTCTTGCGGCCCGCGAGGGTCAGGTCGCGGGGCGCGGCCTTGTCGTGGACAGCTTCTGGCCCGAGCAGGTTCGGCGGCTGGTGCTGCACCGGGCCCGCGCCCTTACCCCTGCGCTTCTTATTTTTATTATTCGTCTTCTTCTTCTTCTTATTAATATTAGTATTATTATTATTATTCGTATTATTATTCTTCTTCTTATTATTCTTATTCTTATGATCCTTCTTCTTCTTATTATTATTCCGTTTATTAGTATTATTATTCTTCTGATTCTTCTTATCAGTATTTTTATTTGTATTATTATCATTAGTGGTAGTCTTCTTATTCTTTTTATTGTTATTTTTATTCATCTTGCGACTATTAGTTTTTTTTATGTGTATTAATATTGCTATTACTGGTAGTATTATTATTGTCATCAGTAGTGCTATTATTCTTCTTATCAAAAATATTCTTATTATATTCATTATGGTTATTCTTCTTATGAGTATGATTCTTCTTAGTTTTATTAATAGTATTGTTATTAGCATCATTATTAGTATTAGTATTAGTATCATTATTAGTAGTATCATTGTTATGGTTATTACTACTACTACTACTACTACTACTACTACTACTACTACTACTACTACTACTACTACTAATACTACTACTACTTAACTACTACTACTACTACTACTTACTACTACTACTACTTTACTACTACTACTACTACTACTACTACTACTACTACTACTACTACTACTACTACTACTACTACTACTACTACTACTACTACTACTAACTACTACTACTGCTACTACTACTACGAGTATTAGTATTAGTATTAGTAGTACTATTATTAATATTATTAATATCATTAATATTATTTGTATTATGATTCTTCTTCTTCTGAGAGGCGGCCCCTGCCTTGCGCCCCTCCGCCTCGCGCGGCATCTGGGCAGCCAGGGCCCAGTCGAGCCGTCCTCCCTTCCGATCAGGGTAGCCCCAGGCCCTAACCAGGTTGTCCAGCTGCCCTCGCGCCTCCTCTCGCCCCAAGCGCCCGCTCCTCTGGCTGCCAACTGCCCCGCGGCCGCCACGCCCGCTGTCGCCCGCCCCCCGGTCGACCCCTTGGGCGAACAGCCTCAGGCGCGCACGGACGCCGCTCGCTGCTGCACCAGCGCCGCCTGAGCCCCTGGCGTCGCTGAGGTAGCGCGCCACTGCCTCCGGGTCGATGCCGCCACCGCCATCTGGGCCCTGACCGCTCTGGCCCTCGCCTCCTCCAAGGGCGGGCCCGCGCCTCACAGAGGCGGGCTGCGAGGCCCTTCTTTGCCTGGCCCCCCGCCCCCTGGGCCCCTCGGCCGCTTGCGCCCCCCTCTCGATCCTGATGGCCATAGCGCGCAGGGCTGCCATCCTCGCTGCGGGCCTGAATGGCGCCAGCACCCCCCCCCCCTCCCCGGCCTGAATAACGTCAGCCACCCCCCCCTCCCCACCGACAGAGCGAAGCCCCCCCCCCTCTTCCTCCCCGGGCCTGAATGGCGTCAGCCCCCCACTCCTTCCCTTCCTTCCTCTTGAATGGCGCCAGCCCCCTCCCCCCCCTTCCTCCCAGGCCTGGATGGCGCCATGCCCACCCCACCCCTCCT